AGTAGTGCCATGTTTGAATTTTATATGATCATGTTATGTCAAAATCAACTATAGAAGAAAATTGGAAAAGCGAGATATAATTTGATAGCTTAAATCAAGTAATAGTTCAAAGAGTTTGTAACCAAGAATTCATTCCTTCTAGTGGCATATCAAATTTGTCAAATCAGTGCAGCTTACTATAGTTTAATCCTTTTATTTTTATTATTTATTTTTTAACTTAGGAGTTTATGTTCAAAATCCAAATTGGGGAATTTCATTTACCAAACATCTAATTTGTTGCAAGATGATGATATAGTCTTAGTGCTTCCTTTTATGCTGCTTCTTCAACCTTGATGGTAGAGGCAAAGAGCTTGTCTGGAAGCTCTTAGATGGTTCAAGCATATATCAAGGGATATCTGTTGGAGAAAAATGGTTTTAAACCATTAATATTTTGAGCTTTAATTAATGTAGGACCCACACATTATTTTAGGTGGGTCAACGTAGCAATTTTATTTCTTGTTATGTGGTGAACATGTATGGTTGTTAAAACCATTAATGAGTGAATGAGAAATCGACTCATGAACATAAACGTTGTGTAGACACCCCATTTTTGACCATCCTCAAGACTTAGACGTCATCGTTTGAACACTCGATGATTTTGTATGCCCGTGTTCGCCTTAAGTGCCCAAAGTTCTTAGCTGAGTGCCTTGTCTTTGGAGCCTTTGAACCTTATCTGCTTTGTGCTTGGTTGTGGACCAGGAGCTTGTTGTTTCGAGTCTGGAGGAGAGGGTGGCCTTTCAGCCAGCCCCACAGCCTATCGGCCATGACTTGTGCCTGTTGGCCATATTGGTGGCCTGTTGGCTACCAGTGGTGGCCGATGACCATTTGTCTCCTTTTTTAGATATTCGTTTGCCAGTTGTGCCAGTTGTTGCTCACTGAACTGCATCTCCATACACGTGTATGGTAGGATGAATTCAAGCTCAAGCCTTGTTTTTCTATATATAGGGGGTGTCCTCCCCCATTTTTGAGGGTTAGAAATTTTGGATCAAAAATTTCTCTCTCTAGACTTCTCTTTCTCTCTTGTTATTTTGCATACACTTGCTTGGTTTCTCTACACTTTTGCGCATCAACCCTTAACCAAACATTCTCACCTTTGAGCTAAGGTTCCTTGGAGTTTTGTTTAAGCCTTGAAAGGGGATTGAGCTTGAGTTTGTGGCTGAGTTGCATTTTGCTTCAAAGGTATTGCACTTACCTCACTTAAGCTTAATTTCCATACTTGTTTTGCCATCTTTTTACACTATTTTTGAGCTGGTTTTGAACTCCAAAAAACTATGTTTTTATGGTTTAAAAATGGTGGTCAAAGGCCTTTTGGAGTTAGGGGGTGGTCCACCCTTCTTGTCTCTTTGCTTGTTAAGCTTTTTGTGCTATCTTTCATCACCTTTAAATCAAACTTTTTGGGCCTTTTAACCACTGAAATTCAGAAGTTTCTCAGTGGTAAAAACCTTATTTTGAAGTCCAAAATTGGAGGGGATGGCCTCCCGTCCTTGTTGTCTTGCTTGCATGCCTAGTTGCCTATCATGTTAGCATGTTTTTCTAGCATTTTGTAGCTTAATCTCAGCATGTTTTCGCCACTGTTTTGACCTATTTTGGCTCTATTTTGGGCTGGTTAATTCATTTGAGACTTTTATTGTATGATTGTAGTGTAATTTTCTTCACTAGCCTAGTGTTTTAATGCTTTGATCATATTTATTTTGAGTTGAAAGCATGCTTTAGTGTTGTTTTGCACTCTATTTCAGCACTTTAAATATCTGCAGCCTCCCTTATTTCTTCACTTTTTTATTTTCTTTGAAGGTTGGTTAACTTTCGGGTTGTGTTTAAGCTTAGGATCGAGGTTCGTGCTTAATGGTTTTAATCCTCTTTTGGGGGTTTCTACTAACCAAAGGCACGACCTCTCCCTTGCCTTAAATCATCCCTTGGTTGACACCTCTTCCATTAGAGGACACTCACTAATGAACTAATCGATTAAAGAATGGATTGGTAAGCTAAAATGAGTAAACAAGAATGAACAAGTAAAAGAGGCAGGATGTAGCATCTTTTGTGTTGCATAGCATGTGTTCGGATCGGACGTTAATTCGAACACGAGGCAAATGGTACGTTTCATACTCAAAGTGATGAAACACGTCACTTTCTTTGGTCACCATCACCCTTGATCATGCATGATAGGGTAGTGGTTTTGTTAAGTCTTGTTTTGCACTAATTAAGCTTGTATAAGCTTGGTTCCTTAGCCATCATGTATGAAAAATGCTTGGTTGATGGTTTGAAGGCCAAAAGTTGCACTCCTTTGAGCTTGTGTAATGGTAAGGAGGGTAACAGTACACACTCTCCTCAAGAATACACTGTTTTGCCTCTGTTTGCTCTATGTTGCAGTAAAAAAGGAAGTTCAGGGAAGGGGTGGCCGACCGGCCACCAGTAGTGGTTGACCGACCACCACAGCAGCAGTCGACCGGCCACCATGGTAGCCGACAGCCAGTATTGGTAGTCGACCGGCCACTACAAGAATTAGCACCTTTGGCGACTAAATTTTTAGTCACCAAAAGTCCATTTTTAGTCGCCAAAAGTCGACTTTTTACTTTTCCCGACTAATTTTTTTAGTCGCTGGTTTTGTTGCGTATAGATGGTCGGCAGAGGTATTGGCGACTAAAAAAGTTTTAGTCGCCAAAAAGCAGCTCTTTCGCGACCAACATTTTAGTCGCCAATAGTTATTTACACTTTTCAAAATCATACATTTAGCGACTAATCCTTTAGTCGCCAATACTCACTGAATCGCCGACTAATCCATTTAGTCGCCAAAATAAAGACTTTTTGAATTTCAATTTTCGAATTAAATTACCAGTATTATGTTTTAAATTCTAAAATATAAAGACATTAGATTATCAACTTTTTTGCTTTTTCTGAAATTCGAACCACGGACCTTCTACTTTGTACACCTTTACCAACACACTCCCTCCACTATGCCACCACAAGATCACATGAATATATATGCAATATATATTATTTATATAGTATATTGACCCGTATTAATTTAAAACTATATATATAAATAAATATAATTATTTTTATTCAATATTAATTTATGTAAAAAATAAATTAATTATTAAAAAAAAGGGAGCCACTTTTGGCGACTAAAGTTTTTTTTAGTCGCCAAAAACCTTAGTTTTAGCTACTACCAATAATTTAGTCGCTAAAAAAATTAATTTCCGTCTAAAAATAACCACTTTCGGCGACTAAACTGATTTTTAGTCGCCAAAACCGCCACTTTTGCCGACTAAACTCAATTTTAGTCGCCAATTGTCCACTTTTAGCTACTAAAAATTTTTTAGTAGCCAAAAACCTTTACATTTGGCTACAACATTTTTTTTGTCGGTAAAACACCTATGATCGGTGACCAAACCATTTTTTAGTCGCCAAAGCCTATACTTTTGGCTACTAATCTTTTTTAGTCGCCAAAAACCTTCACCTTTGGCTACTAAAATTGTTTTAGTCGCTAAAACCCATGTAATCAGCAACTAATCTGATTTTTAGTCGCCACTAAGTACACATTTGGCTACTAAACTGTTTTAGTCGCCAAAAGTCTTCACTTTTGGCTACTAATTCAATTTTAGTCGCCAATTGTCCTACTTTCAGCAACAAAATTTACATTTTTGGTCGCCAAAACTGCTTTTTGTTGTAGTGGGCCATCAATGAAGAAGGTCACTATGTGTGCTCCTAAAGGGGATTAAAAGTGTTCTGGGAGTTGGCACATTTTTCAGTGGTCAAATATGTACAAACAGAGGCTGCAATGACAAGGCGGTAGCATTCTCGGGTGGAGAAGTCGAGCATGGTTGCATCCCTCAACCCTTGAGGCCATTTACTTGCTTTTCCTAATTAGTTAGTTGTAGTTAATTCATTCATACAAGTTTTGTAACTATTTAGTTAATTAATTCATTTTGTAATTAATTAGCTTAATTCGGTTTGTAATAATAAGTTAACTAGAATAGTTAATTAGTTTCGAGCTTTGTAATAGATAGCTTAAGTAATGTAGCTAGTTAGCTTATTCATTCGGACCCTCCTTCGCAAGGGCATAATGTTGTAATAAGTGTGCGTGTGTGTGTGCATGTCTTCCAACCCTACGTCTTTCTCCCTTTTATTTAATCGCTTTTGATGGTTAGATTAGGGTCATATTTCAATTAGCATATCACATGCTTGCATCCATTCATTTGTCTTGCATGCACCGAGGCTCGGCGCATCATTCAAAGTGCATCGCAATTTCAATACTTATTTGAATACGTGTTTATCGCATGTTGTTCAAATCAATTCATATGCCATATTAGTAGCTGAGCCTATTAATTACATATCGCATGTGTTACCTTAGGCATCTTGTATAGTTAGGATCATGCATCTTTCTAACTAGTTTTTGTTTTGGCTTGGAGTACTCGGTGACTTTTTATGCTTTAGCATACTTGCATGAGTGTGATTGCCATATTGCCATGTTTTGTATGCTTGCCTTGAAGCTATGTGCTTAAATGCTAAACTGCATGAATGCCTATGGATGAAAGCTTTGTTGTTTGAATTGGTACAGTTCAACGAATGTATGTTTTAAGCCCACTTTGTTGTGGCAAATCATGTTGTAAGCCCACTATACTTAGTGGCAAATCCGCGTTCTTTAAGCTTACTTGAGGGTGGAAAATTCAAACCATTTTCGAAAACAAACATGAGTTGAGTTGTTCTAATTCTTGCAATTTTAGTCTATACTTGCTTGTGTGCGTCACATAGTAATTTTAGCTAATAACCGAAATAAGAACACATGAGGTTTATAAAAACATCATATCATGGTTAGTAGAGGCCGATCTTTTGATCGGGCGAGCGGGGGTGCTCATTTCATGACCTTCCCCCCTCGTTCTTCCCTTTCTCTTTTGCTCTCTCTCTCTCTCTCTCGCTCGCTGTCTGTCTCTTTCGCTCTCTCTCTTGCTCTCAGTCGCTCGCTCTCTCTCTCTCTCTCTCTCTCTCTCTCTAACCCAAACAAACCAAACAAAAATGGAGAAATCAGAAGGAGAAGAGTAAACGCGTGAGTAGACTAAGCGTATCGTGAGGAGGGTTCAACGATCACAACATGCAAAGAAGTTGGTGTAATTCAACGAATTAGAAGAAGAGCACGATCGAAAGAACGTTGGGATTGATTGGAGTGACAATGGTGGTGGACTCTATCAAATCTATTCAGTTCCGGCAGGCATTCTCTCAGGTCGTCACTCTCGGTCCATTCTCTAATACCCCTTTGTCGATTTATACACATTCATTGATCTTTCTGTTTATTTGGGATTTCAATTTACACATAAACTAGTGTTTCCTCTGTTTCTAATATTGAAAATCTAATGTTTTCTATGTCACCTGCCAGATGTTTGCTTCAATGTTTCATAGAATTTTGAAATCTGGTAGTTCCATAGTTTTGGGTTCGGTCAATCATTTGTTGTTTCTTTGATTAACTCTAGTACTGTGTGTGCTGATATGGGTTCTAGAAAAGTGAAAATTAAGATCAATTCAACAATATACAGTTTTGGTCTTGGTGTGAAGTCTTCAAAGTTAGGTTTGCTTGGGTAAGTGACAAATTTCCAGAGAAGAATACCTAAAACAAAGGGAAAAAAAGGAAAAGAAAAAGAAGAAAAGCTAAATAAAATGTTGGGTTCATGATACAAACTAGAAAGCATTGTGATAGAAATATTAAGATTCTAGCTGCTACTGCATGTTGTTGGTTATGCTGTTGTTAGTACTAGACTACTAGTGAGCATGGTTGGCCTTTTAGGGTACTATAGTAAGATTGGTCTTCAAATTTGTCATAATTGATTAGATTGATTCCAGTGAAAATAGCAATTTAGCTCAATTTGGCAGTAGCTATGAACAAACAACTGCATGGAAATTCATCAACTGGACTTGAATAATAATAAAAAAATCATTCAAAACCTATTTATTTTTTGCAAGTTTCTGCACATTGATTGTTTTCCTTGTTCACAACAATGATTCCTATACTGTTTTTGTTACATTTTTTCGCCTTGACCCGGTTTCTAGTCGAATTTGTGGTTTTTGTCTCGTGGGTTTGATTGGTTGGTTTCCTTTTGGTCCATTTTACTCTTCCATTGGGGTCAATGAATCAATGTGCATTAGTGTTCTGTACCTTAATTTTTTATTTTGAGGAAAAATTTAGCACCAAACCCTTTGATTCCTTTGATTTGTTAGTTGAGGAACGGAAGTGACCACAATGATATGGTTTGGTTTTGTCGTTTAGTTTCATATGCAAATGAATGAATGATGTATATCTAAATTTGATGCTATGATTTGTATCTCTTTTTTTTATTTTTTTTATGAACAAAACTCCTATTGGTCATGATAGACCGTTTATGTGTATGAGCTTTTGGTTTAGCTGACTATGTGTTTGAATGATCCCGGGTATACAAGATGTTAACTATTGGTATGTGGTGTGAGTTATTATTAAGTACATGTGAAATGTTTTGATATGCCATGTAAGCATAGTTCATTGGATAAAATTTTTACGTCTACTTCCGTTTGGTCCCTTAACTCTGATGGATTATATTCTAATCTGATTTGAGGCCGTAGATAATCTCATGATTATTGGCCGGTTATGACCTTAATCTATAGGGGCAGGTTCGGGTCATGACAGTTAGTCTAGAAGTCAGCTTAAATACATTGTCTTGGACAAGTATATTCTCTCAGATGATATACCAATTGACTAGTTTTAATAAGTTCCTTAGTATTAGATTCCCATAGGAAACCTATTAGTCCATTTTATCTCTCTTTCAAAGCTTATAAGCACTATTTTTGACATTTTATCGTGGGGGCAGATGTATTTCTTCTTGCATTTTCTCTTATTAGCAAGGCCAGTTATGAAATGTTGCAAAGAAGGTTGATACTTAAGACCCTTGGATGTGTCCTATTTCAAGGGCTATTATTTGATGTGTACTTAAGTGTATTGACAACTTGTTTCTGTTTTGATTCTATTTCAGTGGATTCCTTTTAGACTTGTATTGGTACCAATGTATCATTGATTACAATAGAACGAACATATCATTGATTCTATTAGACTTGTATTTGAATGGTAAGATGAAGCTTAACGGTTAACTATTTTTTTTTTGTATTTGATGATTTTAGGAATAGGTAGGCATGTAAGAAAGTGGAGTTTTTACATTTGAACGTGTGTGGAAAAATTGTATTAATAGGTAGAAAGTTAGAATTATTAATTTTATAATTGTTATAATTTGAAATGTCAATTTTATTGAATTAGTGCTAATGGTTATTTTTTATTTATTTATTTATTTTACAGATTGCTTTTGCGGGGGCTATTGTGGATATTTATTTTTGTGTACGAAGAGCATTTGTTCTGTATAGGGAAGATATTTATTTTTGTACAATCCTCTGTTTTGGAAATTCGGTGTTTTTGTATGTAATATTTAATTTAGATGAATTATACTTGGTTGGTATGGATTTATATGATATTTGGAATATGATGTTATATGTTAAAGTTTTTAAATAGTTGATAATGAAATGGGTATTATTGATAATGGATTTAGATTATAATTGATAGATGTATTATTCTGTATATGTACGCGTTATAGGTTGCATTGACAATAGAAAGAATATAATTTAGAAATGAATAAAAAATATGCAATTTGTGCATTTTTAAAAAATTAATAAATAGAGCTTGAGCTTTTGGCGACTAAATAGTTAGTAGCCAAAAAAAAAAATGGAAGTTTCGGCGACTAAAAAATTGGTAGCAAAAAAAAAAATGAAAGTTTTTGGCGACTAAGAAATTGGTAGCGAAAAAGGAGTGTCACATTTTTAGCGACTAAAAAATTGGTAGCTAAAAAGCTGAAGATGGAAAATATTTCCCTTTTGGCGGCTAAATATTTTCTTTTGGGAGACTAAATTTTTAGTCTCCAATTTGTGACTTTTGGCGACTAAAAAAAAATTAGTCGCCAATACCATTCCTGACAATCATTTAGGGACAAATCTGGCGATCAAAAAATTTAGTCGGCAAAAATGTACGGCGACTAAAAAAATGACTTTTGGCAACTAAAAATTTAGTCGCCAAAAGTGTAATTTGTTGTAGTGATACTAGGGCGATTTAATCAAAATCTCCTCATAATAAAATTTTAATGCATTAAGGACAAGTATAAAAAGTTTTCATTGAAAAATCTAACAAATATCACTATTATCAAAATATTAAACTTTAAGATAATATAAATTTTGATGTAAATATCGTTTTTTAATAAAATTAATACTTTTAGAATTTTCTCATCAAGATCTATCAAATAAGATTCATGTTGATTATGAAATTCTTTAAAAAATAAAAATTATTACCATTGAAATTGATGTAAATAGTAACAATAACAAGTTACTCTGTTTGATAGTAACATATTACTCTGTCTCACAGTAACATGTTACTCTGTTTGACAATTAATCTATTTGACAGTAACATATTATTATGTCTTACAGTAACATGTTACTCTTACAATATTGTCTAAGAAAGAAAAGGGGAAAAAAAAAGATATTTTATTTTGTTCTTACTCATTATGTGTTTTCTCTTTAGAGGGTTTATGAAAAATAAATAAAGAAAAATAAAAAAATAAATTAGGTTGTCATTTTCATCAAACAATGATATAATTGAGGAGTTTTGACTAAATTTCTCTAAATATAGTATTTACTGGTTTATCGGATATTTAATAATTGATAAAATATTTGTACCAAATAAAGTGGTGTCTAGAGCCAAAAATTACATGTAAAACTGCTAACTAAATGGAAAATAGCTAATTAATTGCATGTAACACACTTTTTTGGTACATTAAACCCATCATGCAATTATAATTAGAACTTTTCGCCTAATAATTATGTCACATAATTTTGCGATGGGAGATTGTAAGTTTCAACTCCTATAGGGAGGGGCATTATGGGAGTTATATCGTTGGCTTGGGTGTAGTTATTGGTTGGTTGGTGAGTGTTCATTTTTAGCTAACAATTTATGAAATAAAAGTTTTGCTTTTATGGTCATAAATTAGTATAATATATTTCATATTTATAATTACTCGTATCTCTTGAATAAAATATAAATAAATAAAATCTTAAATTGGAAAATGCATGAACTCAAGAAGGAAAATCAAAACTCAAGAATTGTGAAGTTTTTTCAATGAAAATTGCTAGGAACCTGTTGGCTGTATAATTTGTAAAAGCCAATCACAATTTAACACGTCGCATGAATAGAGAAATTTGGGGAGTTAATACAAGTTGCCAACCAAAGTTAGACACGTGGCAGTTCGTATTGGTAATAATGGATCTGCGTAGCACTGGAACAATCGAGGGATACAAGGTGATGTGACCTAACAGTTACTCACAAAGTTTAAATTCAAAACCAAGAGGGAAGCCTAACTGCAAGAGTGGCGTAGTGGGACTGACTGTGAGAAAGCATATTCAGTAATCATAGGAGGACATTTCGACGATTGAAAGTCCACTTCAACGGTTATCATTGAAAAGTATAAATAGCAGAGAAGGCCACAGAACGGAGGACCCAGACTCAAATAAAAAAACTAGATTATTTACTTCTTTTTTTTCCTTCTAGTTTTTACTGTTCTTTATATTTCTGCACTTCAATTCCTGTATTGCACTTCATTTCCTAGGAGTAGTTTCAAATAGCTTGTAGCTGTAAACCTCTACGAGGCTGGGTCAGATCATTGTAAGTTTTCACTTTACTTAATGAAATTCAGATTCTGAAATTGTTCTTCATTTTTTGTTATTTATTAAATTCTCCTAAACAAGCCACCAGTAAAAGTCCTCTTCATTGAGGCTAAGAGAACTATAACACAATCGTCTGATAATTGGTTGGCAATTAATATTCTGTAAGGACTAATTGATCCTTATTGGCATGCTTAAAATTACATTATTAACCTTCGAAAGCCAAAAAGCCAACATTTATTTTTGGCACACCCAATGGGACACTAAAATGGCTAGATGTAGGAGACAAAAAGAAAATGAGCGCCTTGAAGAAGGTGTGGAGGGAGAGGTAGAAGTACTTGATCCAGAGGATAATGTGATAACACACCCTATGGAAGCACCTATCTCATTAGAACCTATGGTTGAACAAACTAGCAACTCGGAACATGCACCACATGTTCAAAATATTAGATGAGGCTATGGAATTAGACCATCCACTGTTCCGTCTACCTAGCCAATGAATCCGTGGGGAAGATTAGTAGATGCCATGGGACAATAGTTGATGTATACAATAGAAAGATGGGCAACATCCTTCGTGGATCGAATGAATTCCCATCAAGCAACTAGCACAAGGCATATGGAGAAAAATTCAAATGTTCTTCAGCAAAAATGGGCTAGAGATAAACCGTCTATGCAAAGTAGTGGATATACCAATGGTCAAATTAGTAATCAAAATTATGAAAGACCATCACCTATACCTCAGTCATGGAATGAGCCTCTTTCGAGGCCTAGGGATGGAAGGCGTGATGCAATGAATGCATGCGATCTACAATGCAATGGATATGGCACGCGGACCAAACCAAATTTTGCCTAGGAAAGGGATGTACACATACAAGCCATGTCTAACACAGAAAAGGTGCCGCAACCCTCAAACCAACATACCAGCGTGGAATAGGCGCGTACACATGCAGAACTGTGTTTTAACGTGAAAAGTAAGGGCACATACCAGACCAAGCTCAACATGGAAAGGCGCAAGCCATAGATGGAAGGCGTGATGCAATGAATGCATGCGATCTACAATGCAATGGATATTTACAAAATGCATGACAATGCAATATGATGCAATCTACTGGGGAAAATGCAATGGATGCATGCAAGCTACAATGCAAATGCATGATAATGCACTATGATGCAACGACTATGATTGCAACTTTCCCTATCTTACCAACAGGGCGATATACTAGGTTGGTTCAGTATCCAGAACTGAGGCGCAGACATGCTGCCTCAATCTATGGGGCTTCCATACAGATTTCAAGCCGAGGGTACACCCCTGGGTATTTAAACCAGACTTTAGTCTCGGAATTCCCGAACCTTTGCGTTCTAGTCATAAGCCGTTCGAACTCTAGTTTCCACCGTCCCAGCTGGTCTTCTAGGAACTCGCCGCAAACATAGGCAGGTGGTTTTACCAGACCACCGAAAGTCGTTCAGGCACGACAAACACCGAAGGAATTGCACCTTCAGAGGATTTAAGGTCTCCTAGACCGGGATGCAAAATGTATGCATGACAATGCATGTGTGTGTTTTTTTTTGTTGTTGTTCTTTTTTGAAATGCAAATGATATATAAAATGCATGTTGCATGGAATGCGCGACAACACGCGGCTTAAGATATGCACGGCAATGCAACCGAACTGCATACATCAATGTGCCGAAGGGTTTGCACCTTCAAAGGATTTAAGGTCTCCTAGACCGTGCGTGTTTAATGTCTTGCCAGACCGTGGCAACATGCGGAACAATGCAAGAATGAGGCACGCATGCTAATGCAAATGAAGCACGATACAAGATGATACAAATAAGACACGCGTGCCTCATAACATGCAAAATGATACAAGTGTGACACGCATGCCACACGGAATGCAAAAATGAACAAATGAGACACGCATGCCTCATAAAATGCAAAATGATACAAGTGTGACACGCATGCCGATGAAAATAAGGCACGCGTGCTGATGGAAATGGGGCACGCATGCCGATGCAAAATAATAGAAATGAAATAAATGAGACACGCATGCCTCATAAGATGCAAAAATGATGCAAGTGTGTCACGCATGCCACACGAAATGCAAAATTTTGAAAATTGGACTTATACGCTACGCGAAGCCGGTTCGTATTCAAAACAATGCAATGTACTAACAAGTACAAATAAGGTGCGCAAAATAACGTGAGAGGATACATGCAAGATGCAAGTGAGGTGCACAAAACAGTGCGATGCGCGAAACAGCGCGAACAATTAAACTGCACAAAACAGTGCGATACGCAAAACAGCGCGAACAATTTTGAAATACACAAAACAGTGCGATGCGCAGAACAGCGCGAACAATTTTGAAATGCACAAAACAGTGCGATGCGCAGAACAGCGCGAACAATTTTGAAATGTACAAAACAGTGCGATGCGCAGAACAGCGCGAACAAAATACAAGGCACAAAACAGTGCGATGCGCAGAACAGCGCGAAAAATTTTGAAATGCACAAAACAGTGCGATGCGCAGAACAGCGCGAAAAATTTTGAAATGCACAAAACAGTGCGATGCGCAGAACAGCGCGAACAATTTTGAAATGCACAAAACAGTGCGATGCGCAGAACAGCGCGAACAAAATACAATGCACAAAACAGTGCGATCGATTGCATGCTCTATGCCAATGACGACGCGCATGCCAATGAAAATAAGGCACGCGTGCCGATGGAAATGAGACACACATGC